ACAGATATATTGGTTTGACGATCTTATTCAAAATGGCCAAATGGTGGCCATTTTTGTGCTAAAAAATCATCAAATATCAAGCATTTATGGATGGATTTCGTTCAAACTTGGTACATATGTTAGACATTACAGGTTCCTGATGCACATCATTTATTTTTCAGATCGGATTCAAAATGGCTGTCTGGCGGCCATTTTGTTTATGATTGGGCTTCTAGAGCCATATCTTTTAAATGCTTTGACTGATTATATTCAAACTTTATATATTCGTTATACATCATGTTATATATGTACATGTATTCAAAATTGCTGATTTTGAATGCTGTTCCAGAGCAATATCTCTCAATATGGACAAGTACTTGTTTGACGATCAGATACAATTGTCAATCATTTTAATGTTAAAAAATCATATTCCTGACATGGTTATATTCCAGCTATATTACTATAAACAAAACTATATATCTTAAATTTGATAACTAACGGGGACTGTGCCATGCATGGTTTGTTCATCCAGGTGTTGCGTTGGATTGATCAGTGTACCAGTGGATTCAGAAACTCTTCATGCAGTGTTGAGAGTTACCTTAAGATTTACGAGAGAGCATCAGAATGCTCTGCTATTTGCTGAGTTAGATGGTCCAAAAATGTTGTTGTCACTAAAGCAGCCTTCTGGATTCCCTGGATTTACATCTCTAGCCACCTTGATTTTGAGACATGTCATGGAAGAACCTCACACATTGAGGCATACTATGGAAAAGGTAATGTTGTTGTGTTTCTGTCTGAATTAAAGTATCTAAATCACAAGAACTCTCTATCGCATATTTGGCCTGTATCAGGAATGAGACTCAACATTCAACACTGAGGGCGCTGTCATATTGGTCAAAATATAACCAGTATGAATGAAGATCACATTGCTGTGACCTTTAATGTTTGGTTGTACCAGCGAGTTCCTCTGTGGTCTGCGGTTTCTTCTCATAGTTTTAACAGTGCTTTATTCAGTAATATTGCACATGAATTTACCCTCTATGTTGAATATGAGGGAAATCACAAATTGAAGCAGTCTCCCAGATGTTTATCACTTTGAACAGAAATAGCGAAAAAGGCTAGAACCCCCTCAAGTATGAAGTATAAGCAGGTGGAATGAATGGACTGGCGTTGTATTACAGACACGTTTAATGAGAATTTGCCTTTGGGCCGGAATCCCGGCCCAGTTGAACAATATGCCAATTACTAGTTACCCACGTCCTACTTGCACATTGCAAGGGCCACCGGGAACCAGCGAGTACTTTTATGAGAATAGCGATGAGTAAATCATTTTAATTTCCTCTAGGTTGTGAGAACAGCAGCGACTGGTAATATTGGTAGCAGTATATGTGGTGTTGCAGCAGGTACCATAGGTGCTAAAGAATTACATTATATTATGCGAGTTCTTGGACCGGCTGCGTGTCACAATCCGGATTTGTTTGTGGATGTTGCTAAAGTCATTTTAAGAGTAGCTTTGCCAACTCCCTCAAGAAGAGGTATGTATTTAAAAACTTGCATGATCAATTGAGGCTTATTCAATGCATTACAAAGTAGCATTGGAAAAGCTAGCTCTTCAACATTTTTACTTTTAGAAAAAATAGTTTAATATGCTTTTTTCTGTCACAAATATGCCTAATAATCTTCAAAACTATTATTCAAATCTGAATGCAATGCTGTATTTGCTCTATTACAAGCAGATTCTCTGACTGTATTAAATATCTGATTCCGCTGGTGAAGTTCAAAGATTTATTTGCAAAAACTTACAGTTCATAACAATAACATCAGTAATTTGCAATGTTAGGAATCTATAGGTTAATGCTTTTTATTCATCATAGACACATTGCATACACTACTAATAAAACTAATACACTACTCGTATTAAATTGTTGTATTGATTGTTTTTCCTTTTTTCTCAGATGAAGATGAAGCTCGTCTAGTTGGGCCGAATGTTCCACTGATTCTGAAGACCACATCTGTCAAGTCGTCAATGCCTCCACCAATAGATGGACCTATAAAACAAGTGTTATGTGATCTTCTTAATGCATTGGTAGTTGTACAAAGTGAGGAAGTACCACCACAAACAGGTGAGGATTCTAATCATACTTGTAGCTGTGTTCCCATGGAGGGGCTGTACTGTTTAGTTCCCACTCACATGATACTCATTGCCTAGTAATTGGAGAGGATGTCCTTTGTAACCCCCCCCCCCTCCTCAATCCTAACTCTACCCCCCTTCCAATTCAATTGTATATGCCAGTGAAAAGCTGGAAACTCTCAGAAAACTGTACTTTGGGATAGTTGTTGACTCTCCCGAACAGTGTAACATGACTGTAATATTTATGAATTTGGTTTCCTCAGGATTACCATAAAAATCATATTTGAGGCCACAACTTTAACAGAAGCCGCACCCCTGACTTAAGACGTTGTTTCATGTTGAAATTGACAAGCTTTGATTCCAGGAAAAAGTCTGCAATATAAGCTGCACCCCAAACTTCCACAAACCAAACAGCCACCACATTTCAGAACAAGATATACCATTTAATTTTAAATTAAGGCATAATTTTTTCGAACATTTTAATCTTTCCTACACCTAGATTAAAGTCTAATTTAGGTTTTCTGTAGTCATTGACGCTTATTCGAGAGTACAGTGTGTATTGTGGGTAGTGTGAATGGGTAAACTGCGTTTCGACAATGAGCTGTTATTATTGTCAAGTGTTAAATTCTTCTACAATGCTCAGCTTATCTTTCGAAAAACAACTAATTTCTTGATTTAAAAAAAATCATGCCGTTTTCCCATCAAAGCCAAACGATCGTACTACAACAATGGTAAATCTCTTCCGTGTTACGTTCACCATGAAGTTGCTGAACTACATTAACATATTTAAATGAGGTATGGTAATTTAAACAAGTTGGCACCATCCAGCGTTACGATTGGTTAATTAGCGACTTGACCTATCAGGTCAAAAAACAGTTTCGAGTCACTAAAGGTGTTTGAACAAACATGGCGGATATTGTATCAGATCGAGTGTTTACATGTGACATTCGCTTGCGGTGAAACTAAGTTGAATTTTCACAACATTTCAACGAATTTATTTTTTGTACGTTATTGTAATCACTACTAAGTAATAATCATCAATTATAACACATAACATACAAGTTATACTTGTGTGAAACAAAGCATGACCGGCTGGATTGCGATGCCGTTACCGTGATCATTTGCTACTAAGAATGCATTCTTTTTTGTTTTTACTGTTTTTAGCATATACTTTTCGTTACCAAAAAAAATTAAGAAAATAAATACATAATACATTATTTTTTTGTTATCATGTGAACATTTTTAGTCCCCGTTCGGACGCAGTCCAAAAACAAGGACTTACAGTACTCATTCAGCCCAACCTCCCGCTTTTATCGTTTTTTTTACCCGACCGCTTATCGCTTTTGTTCGCTCGCTCGCTCTTGCTATGGCTGGCTTCAGAAATGTCGTCCGCTTCCCAACCGACCGCTGGAGTAACGATGATGGTACATTGCATGTATAAACTTATGTTTTTATTCGTAATAAATTTATGTTTTAATGACGATTTAAAATACAACGTGTATTGCTTCTCTGTATTGAGAAAGGAGACAAAGATGCCTTCAAATCACTTGACACATTGTAACTTTCGCTACGCAAGTCGAACTGTGACCTGTATTTACATATTTACGTCCTTGTGTGCGTAGTTCAAGCAGCTATATAACTGGTCAATCAATCGTGATATATGTTGAGTACTAGTATTTGTGTGTTGTGTGTGTGTTTCTGTGTAATTTTGACTAAATTTATTCCGATGAGCGCTCAAAATAATTTGACGCTTTATTTGCGAACGCAACTCACACTATGACCCTTACTCAATTTGCATAAGTAATACGAATGCTGTAGTTATATATCTGGTTAACTATTGCTTGTGTCTGGGTGCGCAAAACAAAACTGCACATATAATCATTGCATAGCTGAATTTCTACAAATCAATTGGATTTAAACTACTAGTATAATGACTGTGACGATTAATCGCTTGTCTGAGTACTTGTGGCGATGAATTATTGGATTGGCAGCAGCCGGACGAAAAACGAAAGAGATGTCGGAACAGTTAATTGTTGAGGAAAAATGAAACAAAACAAACTCAGCCAGTGATACATTTCGAAAATAAAAATACAAAATAAACGCAATCAAAGACGCCGACCACACGCGTTGGAAATAAATAAAACGTGTTGTAACACAGTCTCACCAAACTCTTTCACTCGCGCAATATAATTATGTTTTTTCCCTAAGCACTTATATTTAATACATTGACGAAAAACACCGCAAGAAAAATGTAAATCAGGCTTGTAATTACTAGTAACTCAACTCAAACGAAATGTTGATCACTGTCAAAGTGGATAAATTCGAACCATCATCAAATTCAAAATTCTAACGATCTCGTTGAATGTCAATCAAAAATAAATGTTTAGAAAGACAAAAACAACAAATGTGCCATTTCAAAGGGCACCCTTACAAAAAATGTTTGCGATTGTGTGAACATGTTAGCGTGCAAACAAGGAACAGAGCTAGTGGTCCACCAAGGAAACTTAGCGATGACGCAGTTAGATGTATACGGCTGTTGAAAACAGAGACTCCTTCGATCTTATATGAGCAGGTTCGCGTGGATGTATCATTTTCAACTATTACAAACAACACTATATATATGATAATAAAGACTTTCCGTTTTCGACATTGTGAATTTTTTTTGTTTTTATGTAGAAAAATACAGTATTTTTTTTACCAAGTAAAATCATATTTATTAAAGTTATTGTTTATACACGAGTTGTCGAACACACTACATAGTTTGTAATTTCATCCAGTTCCTTTCAGTCACAGTTCAAGACAAATAAAAGGCACAAATATAGATAATATAGCAAATTATTTTTCTCTGTAATATTCGTGTGTAATCAGTAATTATGAAAATAATTTATGGGTACATATGGAATACGTTTCATTCTGAATTATTCTTAATATACATTTCTAAATTATCTTGTCAAAATACAGTTTTTTTTCAGGGTTTTTCCCCAAAAAGACGAAAGAATTTCATAATGTCTTTTTTTTTATTATTTATTGGGAACGGAAAGTCTTTATTGTAGTGCTTCGCCTCGGTTGACAGTGAGATCTTCGGGTCGCTAAAACTGTAAGTCCTGTTGGAGTGAACATTTTTATTATTATACCGAATAAATCTTGAAACAGAAATTGTGGCAATCTTCCAGGTCATCATTAGAAAGATTTTCAAAGGCAAATTTAATCTCCACTCAAAGCTAACTTGAAGGATTGCAGGAAATTGACCCTTACCGATTCATATTTATGAATTAATCGGGATTCAGGTACCATGGTGTTTGTAACAGAGTATTCCTAAAGATACGCAAAAAAAACTAACTTTCGCGTGGGATTTTTCATGCAAACATTGTTAATGGTTCCTTGACACCGACACCGATTCCTTTCTAACTTTCATTTTTTCCAAGATGCGGCAAACCCTGCTCATGACCGGGGACGTCGTCGAGATGCAGGTGCGATTTCTCTTCGCAACGCGTTCTATTTATTTTCAACGTGTGTGGTCGGCGCCTTTGATTGCGTTTATTTTGTTCTTTTATTCATGTAATCTATCCCTGGCAGCGTTTGTTTTGTCGCATCTCACAAGTTGCGTCCAAGCTGACTTTGTTTTGGCTGTAGGTGAACTACGTACAGCTCATGGAAGTATTTCGCAAAACGGAACACCCTGCAAAATTTGAATCCTTTATTTTATAAAGAGACATTGGGCGCAGAAATAAAAACCATAATTGTAATTCAACAAGTTTATGTAACGTGTTAGTCCGCTTGCCAGCCGCCTAGTTAAAAAAACACGATCTCCATTGATGTCGGCTTTGATAACATCGGAGAAGTAAGATGGGCGCCGCCCGACATTACATTTGCAATTATTGTATTTGTTTGACAAATTGTACAGTACGGTCATTCTATAACAATCAATTGGTCGTTTTTTTCACAGTCTTACTATTCCTGCAGATATTCTTCAATTGTTATAGGTGCCACGGATTTCATAACTACAACTTGACCCGTGTTAAACCCAAACCATGCGTCACCCTACACACGGTTACTCGACGAATACCGTACTCTACAGTAGACATTTTTCGCTCTCCATCAAAAATGTGCTAAAAAATCCAAAAAATCAAGCATTTCTCGGCTGTTTACAGATGGATTTTGTTCAAACTGGGTATATACATTAGATGTTATGGGACCTTGATGCAAATAATTTTATTTTTTCAGATTGGATTCAAAATGGCTGTCTGGCAGCCATTTTGCTTTAATGAATGGGCTTCTAGACCCATATCTCTGACTTGCTTTCACTTATTATGTTCAAATTTTAAATATTCATTATACATCATGTCATAGATAAACAGATATATTGGTTTGTCGATCCTATTCAAAATGGCCGAATGGTGGTCATTATTGTGCTAAAAAGTCATCAAATATCAAGCATTTCTGGCATTTATGGATGGATTTCGTTCAAACTTGGTACATACATTAGACATTACAGGTTCCTGATGCACGTCATTTTATTTTTCAGATTGGATTCAAAATGGCTGACTGGCGGCCATTTTGTTTTAATGATTGGGCTTCTAGAGCCATATCTCTTAAATGCTTTGACTGATTATATTCAAATTTTAGATATTCGTTGTACATCATGTTATATATATACATGTATTCAAAATTGCTGATTTTGAATGCTGTTCCAGAGCAATATCTCTCAATATGGACAAGTACTTGTTTGACGATCAGATACAAATGTCAATCATTTAATGTTAAAAAATCATATTCCTGACATGGTTATATTCCAGCTATATTACTATAAACAAAACTATATATCTTAAATTTGATAACTAACAGGGACTGTGCCATGCATGGCTTGTTTCATATTAGTTGTGTCCGTGTCAGTGCCGTATTTGATTTCACATGTTTGGTTCCATATTGTTTATGGTGGACATTATTACTACGCGTATGTATTATTACCAATTTTATATGGCAGTGTTATCCACCGTATTTTTTCAATGGTCGTTCTATAAATTTCTGATTGTATTTATTCTTCTTTTAACATCATAAAAACAAAAATGATACACTTGTACATGAAACAATAGATAATGAACTGTAAATGCGGGCGGTTGCGCTGTCAGGCGAGCGCGCGCGAGCGGATACTTCCAGATTTGCGCGGTCGAAAAAAAAGCGGAAATTGAAAAAAGCAAGCGGAAAAAAAACAAACGAAATCCGGAGGCGGGCGGGAGGTTGGGCGAAATGAGTACTGTATGTTTCGACCTCTGTGTGTCCGTGCGTGCGTCCGTGCGTGCGACCTGTATCTTAGAAATACCTGAACCAATCACAATCGAACTTCACACATACATCATACATGATATTATACATATGCACGTCAATTTTTTTCACGATCTGATTCAAGATGGCCGAATGGCGGCCATTTTTGTGCAAAAAATCATCAAAATCAAGTATTTTTCGGCTGTTTACAGATGGATTTTGTTCAAAATTTGTATATACGTTAGACATCATAGGACCTTGAAGCACATCATTTTGTTTTTCAGATAAGATTAAAAATGGCCGACTGGCGGCCATTTTGTTTAATGAATGTGGTTCCAGTGCCATATCTCTGACTTGCTTTGACTGATTACGTTCAAATTTTAAATATTCATTATACATGTATTCAAAATGGCTGATTTTGTTTTAATTAATGCTATTCCAGAGCAATATCTCTCAATAGTGGTTGATACAAATGTCAATCATTTTAATGTTAAACAATGATCATAATCATACTCCTGACATGTTTATGTCCCAGCTATATTACTATGAACAAAACTATATATCTCAAATTTAATAACTAACTGGGACTGTGTGATGCATGGCTGGTTTTTTTATTGACTGTCCCGTCACTCTGCCGGAAGTCGAACATGCCAGTAGTCGAACGCAATCAACTGTGTCAGATGACTGTCTCTCAGTTGCGACCTATAACGAATTAGAGTGACATCTATTCAAGAGATTGTAGTATACGGTGCCTTAATCTGCGAATGCGTACAAATCTACTTGTAGATAATATTTATTGCGCAGTATATTATAGTGTGAAATGTTGTTTGTGTACAAGTTTGTCTGTGTGTAAAAACCCGAGAGTGCGCTTAGAATTGCAACATCTCATTAGCATGTCATTATAAAACAATATTCAAGCTTGACATCATATAATTCCTACAATGCTCCTTGCAATGCAGCTGATGTACCAAAGCCAGACATGAAGGAAAGCCCTCCAACTGTGTCTGAAGAAATTGGTCAAGCTCTTCGTGAAGTTGGAGATGATTTCATTCGACAATATTCAGTTAATGGTACAAGTAATCGAGCTGTACGTAGACAAGACAGTATTGTTGTTGATACCGAAGCTGAAGCGGGAGATGAAGACCATCAGGTTAGGCAATGAATCCAGATTGTTTTTCATAAAACTAAAAGAAAAGTACATGTAGAATTTGAATTATTTTCTTTATATATTTTTTCGTTACTTTGAACAAAAATGCAACTCAATTAGCAGTATTGCAATAAAGCTCACTTTTGCTCAGAAAATATTGATAGTTTAAATGCAACAGTTTGTAACTGTAAGCTGAAATGCTATTTGTTAGTAAAACAGTGA